CTTTGACAGGCACGATGACCTGGGCTTTGACAGGCACAATGACCTGGGCTTTGACAGGCACGATGACCTGGGCTTCGACAGGCACGATGACCTGGGCTTCGACAGGCACGGTGACCTGGGCTTCGACACGAACGGACAGACGGCAGCGGATCGAAAGAACGACACGAATTTTGGCACGGAGACGGGGCACAACTCGCAAGAGCGGCCCGCTCCTGCACGCGCTGACGGGGCCGTGTGGGATGACGATTACGGACCAGGTGAGCACGGTGGAGGTGTCTGTACGCTGGCGCAGCAGCTGACGCACGCACACAGATGCAGTATCGGACCCGCGGTGCAGGCGCAACATGGCCAAGCAGCACGATTGCAGTGACGACTCGAGCAGCGACTCGTCTCTGGGGCCTGGCGGCCAGGGCATCCAGGGACTGGTTAGGAGAGCGCGGCGGCGCAGGAGCGTCAAGTACCCGGCTGGGGAATTCGATAGCGAGCTTGCGAAGAAGTTTGGTGTGGCTGTGCAGGATGGGGAGACGGAGGGGCAGGGGGCGACGGGGATGGAGGGGGGAGGGTGAGTTTGTGATGCTGGCGAAGTCTTGTTGTGAGAGTCTAGTTAATGGCAAAGAGGGGTTATGGCGTGATGAGTTTACGATCCTGTCGCAGTCGTCTGAGTATAGTCAATGGCAAAGAGGCGTGCGTGTCACGTGAGTCCAGAAATCGGTAGTTGGACATGAGTGGAAAGCTACATGCTCGCGCGCTGGCTTGTGAAGCGGCTTCTCTCGGCTCTCCTGCATCGTAATAATACACAATATGACATGCTCCCCCGCGCTTGTTTTTTTCTTCTCTACTGCTTCGCGCGCTTCTCCTTGTCGCTCGTCGTCTGGCTGACGTTGAGACCCAGGCCGTCGGAGTCGAGGTAGACCTTGTTGGCCGACTGCTGCAGGATCTGGGCAATGTTCTTTGCGTTCTCAAACTCGCGCAGGTCGACGTACGTGCGCGACTTCTTGATGGCGTCACCGATCAGCTCGGCCGAGCGGGCTTCTCCCTGCGCGCGCACGACGGTGGCTTGCTTCTCCTGGCGGGCTTTGTCGACCACAAAGGCGGCACGCTGGGCTTCTTGCTGGGCGACTTGCTTGGCTTCGACGGCGGCGGTGAATTCGGGCGAGAAGGCGAGGTGCTGCGGGTGTTAGCTGGGGAGGCATGTGTGGGAGGGGCGAGAGTGGGGGGCTTACGGTGAGTGAGACGTCGTCGAGCATAATGTTGAAGCGCGCGGCTCGCCGGACGAGGTTGTCGCGGACCAGGCGCGACACATTCTCACGCTGGGTGATGAGCTGCGACGCGTTGAACTGGGCAACCACGCTCTTCAGCACCTCGTTCACAATGGACGGCAGCACGCGCTCGTCGTAGTCGGTGCCCAGGGTGCGGTAGATCTGGGGCAGGGCCTCGACGCGCGGACGGCTCAGGACTCTGCACGTGATGTTGACCATCTGCAGGTCCTTTGTGCCCGTCAGGCTGGCGACGTTGCGCGGCTTTGCGCGCACGTCGTAGGTGATGGGCGTCTCGAACCACGGCACGTTGAAGTGGGTGCCCTCGTTGTAGATATCCTTCTGCACGCCGCCTAGGCGCGTGTACTTGATGGCCCGGTGGCCGCCGTCGACGTTGAACAGCGCGTTGTTCGCCAGCCAGAGCCCGCCGCCGAGCAGCACCAGGCCTGCGATGCCGCCGGCCGTTCCTTTCGGGGCGCCGCCGCCGGAGCCACCGAAGCGCGCGGTGCGGCGGGTCAGCTCGTTCTGGATGCGCTGCCACGCTTCCTTGGGGTCGGGTGCGGCCATGGTCGATGTGCGAGGCGGTGCGGACGGGTGATGGGGCGGGCGAGGTGCGCGAGGTGCCAGGCATCGTGGAGGCGTTGATGATGCTTCGACTGGCCGCGATCCACGTCTGCCGGCCTTCTGCCGATTGGCTGGGGCGAGCAAGATGCTCTGTGGGAGCCCGCGGTAGCCACGAGCTCCCTTGCTTGCAGTCGGCAACAGTTGTGTGCCTGTCCACACGCAATGGATGGAGCTTGGCACTGTACACCTCCTCCTCCTCCTCTCCGCCCTGCTCTCCTCCTCTCCGCTCTGCTTGTCGGATACCGTCTCGGAGTGGCGACGCGTGAAACATGTCGCTGTCCGCGGGCATGAGCGAGCATGCTCGCGCCGGGACTAGTGCCTGTCGAGTCCAAGACAGCTGTCCAGAACCTCCGCATTCATACACATTGCCCGTAGTCGTCTCTTGTCTTGCTACACTGTCCAGAGAGCGGCCGGTCTGTTTGTGCGTGTGTGTGTTTTCTGTCCATTCTTATTCTTTCACGATACGTTGGTCTTCCAGCATCGGTCTGCTGTCTTTGCCGCGACGCGACGCGGCTAGAGCTTCGTCGTTGATATCGAGCGACATCACAGCACCGCCGGCGCCATGTACATAACCCCGCGGACCCTCCAGGCCGTCGCCTGGTCCACGCTGGCCGTGTCCGCAGCGCGCGCCCAGTACGTCATCGACAGCCTCAGCTTCGGCCACAAGGACGGCGCCGCCTACATCTCGCCCGACCTGCGAACGATCCCCCACTTCAGCGTGCTCGGGGTCGACGACTACACGCCCCAGATCCTCTCCGACCGCGTCATCCTCACGCCCCCGTACCCCGGCAGCAAGCGCGGCGCGCTATGGGCGAGCGACCCGATGCACCACGGCGGCGACTGGACCGCCGAGCTGGACTTCAGGGCGACGGGCATGGAGCGCGGCGGCGGCAGCCTGCAGCTGTGGTACGTCAAGGACAGCCAGGCGCACGACAAGCCCAACAGCCTGTACACGGTGCCCAAGTTCGACGGCCTGGTCCTGGTCATCGACCAGTACGAGGGCCACGGCGGCTCGGTGCGCGGCTTCCTGAACGACGGCACCAAGGACTACAAGTCGCACAACGACCCCGATCAGATGGCCTTTGGCAAGTGCGACTACGCGTACAGGAACCGCGGCTATCTCAGCAGCATCAGGCTGCAGCACACGGACCGGATGCTGGACGTCATCGTCGACGGCGAGTCCTGCTTCAAGACCGACAAGGTGCGTCGTCGCTGCGAGACGGACATGTGCACCGAGCCCGTGCTAACCCACTGCCCCAGGTCAAGCTCCCCCAGGACTACTACTTCGGCATCAGCGCCGCCTCGGCGGAGAACCCCGACTCGTTCGAAGTGCACAAGTTCATCGTCTCGACCACAACCTCACACACCCGCGAGGAGCCCGTCCGCGAGCGCGTCCCCGACACGCGCAACCAGCAACACCAGCAGCCCGTGCAGAACCAGCCGCACCAAGAGTCCGCCCAGCAGCAGCACGCCCAGCAGCAGCACGCCCAGCAAAACGCGGCGCCCAAGAAGACGGCCTCGTCGGCGCAGATCCCCCCCTGGATCGAGGACGTGCTCGCCACCAACCTGAAGACGGACAACGACCGCTTCGAGGACCTGCACAACCGCATCCAGGACATGGCCCACCACGTCGCCGCCCTCTACACCGCCATCGAGTCCATCGGCGCCGCAGCCGAGCAGCGCCACAACGACCTCTTGTCAAGACTCGCCCCCCTCGACGACCGCAGCGCCCACAACGTGCGCCTCGGCGAGGGTACCCAGAACACGGTGGACAAGATCCTGCGCGATCTCGAGAGCAAAGACTACAAGGAGTCGATTGCGGCCATGCACAGGAGGCTCGAGGACAACCACAAGGATATTCCGAATCTGGTGCAGGCGGTTGTGCAGAAGCACGGCTTGAGCTGGGTGAGTCTGCTCGCGATTGCCTTTGCCGTGCAAGTCATGGTCGTGGGTGCCTATCTCGTGTACAAGAAGCGAAGGGGCGGCGCGCCGAAGAAGTATCTGTAGACGAGCATGAACGCCGTGTGTTGACATTTGTCTCACCCGCTCGACACGCGTGTACTCGAGTGAGACATGGCGGCAGAAGAGAAGTGGAGAGCACACCATGCACACCATGCACACCATGCACACCATGCACACCATGCACACCATGCACACCGTGCACACCGTGCACACTGTGCATATCGTGAGCCTGGAGATGGCGCGACGCAGAAGCCAGACCTCGGGGGGGAAGAGAGTACGGGGGGGAAGAGAGTACAGGCCGCTACCACAATCGTCTTCGTGCGCGTCCTTGGACTGTTGCTGAGATCGAGGCTTGCATTGTTTGGCCGGCGCTCCCTCGCGCGCTCACGCGCATCTGCTCGATGCCGCCAGAGTCCGCCCCGAGTCGGCTTCTGTGACAAGCTGGAGCGCGAGTGTGCCGGTGACGTGTTGTGTGTGGTTTATTCTTGCAGTTGAGAAGTTAACACGTGTATATTTATATAGACAGACGGATGGGATGTTTCTTGTATTTGCTTGTTGTAACTTGATTGTCCAATTTACTTACCTTCTTCGACTAGTTAGCCTGAACAGGAAATCCATCATTTCTATTACTGCAACATCTACGAATTAACCCGTCTATGAAAACGCCTGTAGAGGGGGGCTGTACCGTAGTACGTCTTATTGGACGCGCCGCCCTGCCCTGGGGGCCCGGAGTGCACGGCTTGTCAAAGGAAAAGGTCGGCGGCGACGCTCTTTTGGACTGGATCTAGGCGGAAAGCAAAGCTGAGCACACAGTACATCATTGTGGCTGACAGTTCTCGAAAGATACACATTGCACAACTTGGCGACGACAAAGCATCACAGAAACACCACGCTCGAACTCTGGCATCATCGAGGCATCCTCGCTCGCTTCACAGGTCACTGCCTCGAGCCCCGAATTGGCCACTCGTATTATTCACCACCCGCGGTACTCAATCTCTGCCATTTCTTTCTTACTGCCCTCAGCGCCCCGTGTTTTCTCATCATCGCACATCTCTTCCGTCATCCGCATTCTGTGTTCCAGCTTCCCAATACAAAACAAGAAATGACTCGGGGACACAACATCCCTCGCCGCGGCCCTCAGCGCTTGCAACAGCCCGTTCAGCCGCCCGCTGACCTCCAACAACGACTGAAAAGCCTGCTCGAACAGCAAGTCGGGCCGCTGCGAGCTTGCCAAAAAGGTGACCAGCAGCACAGTAGGCTCCTTGACGTGTCCGGAGTTGCAGAGCCGAATGGCCTCTTTCCACAGGCTGAATTTGCCGCAGTACACCGTGCTCTCCGGCGGCGTGAGGTGCGTGAGCATGTACTTCAGCATGCTCCGTCGCTTGTGTAGACTAGGCTCGAAGATCTTGTCTGCGTGTGTGTCGGGCAGGCACGATGACCAGCTGGCAAGGGCGTGCGCTGCGATCGCGAAGCGGCGGCGGGCCTCGTCGTGAGCGGGTAGTGCGTGGAGGGGAAGAGGGAGAGCTTCTCGTGCTGCAAAAGTCAGGATGTCCGAGTGACATTGAAGCTCGGGTTCCAGAGGTAGAGACCCCATCATCTGCGGGACGTCCAACCACATGATGGGCTTGGTGGGGGATTTGGATTGCGCGTCCGCCATCGTATCTGCTATGGCGTCGAGGTATTGTTGGACCCTGTCTACTGATAAGGCGTCCTGTCGGAGAATGTGTGCGAGATACATGAGATGTCGCTGGAAAACGGTGCCGTACAGGGGGTCTGCCAATCCCATGACCATGAGGCAAGCCGACGCAAGCTGACAGAGCGATTCTGACGCTTGGTCTTCCTCAAGATAGCCGGCTTTACATGACGCTCTGTCAGGGCTTTCGATCTCGGGATATGGCACGTTTGCCCGTATCGTTGCTGCTTGATGGGAGCTGCAGTGGGACGGGAGTTGCGATAGCGTGGAATGAATGTCTTGAGATCCCCCTTGCACACTGGTCTCAAGCATCTCATAGTAGAGATTGTAAGAAGGCTGATGACACTCATGCATGGACGAATACCGCGCCATTTTCTGAAGTTGGGCGACTGGTGCGCTCAGAGCGATCTCGAATGGCTGAGTGGCATACATTAGAACCATGGTGGACAAAGGTTGTCGGTAAAATAGACCCTCCCACGTATTGCACAATCGGGCTATTTGTGTAGTTTTGACGTCCTGATGGCAATTGGGCCTGGTGACGACTTGCCGAATGACGTCGTGCGGACTTGTGGAAGGCGGCAATGCATGCCTGTGTAGTTGACTGATCTTTTCGGCAGTCATGATAGCACAGCTATCAGAGGGATTGCTTGAGATGTGGCGATCATACCCTTCTGCCCATGGCGTTCTGCGCTGCCTTCGCTTCTCATAGCCAATGTGTTGGTCGGAATGGCAGGAGCGTTCCAAGCTTTCCAGTGGTATCGGCAGGCATACGTGAATGAAGCTCTTATCCTCGTGATGTGTATATAATACAGAAGATTCAAAAGCCGCCCGAAGACTTCTCGATTTGCTGATCAGACTCTGGATAGGCGCCCATCTCAGGACGATAGATGTTGGCTCGTTTGAATTACGCAGGATAGCTGCGCGAGTAGATGCGACAAGACCTTTGAGGTATTTCAGAAGATCTACACTGTCACGCTCGCAGTCTTGGGTCAAGAGTAGAAGGTGCTGTTCAGATCAGCGGCAAGGACGTGGGAGTTGAGCACGTTGGCACACCTGACCCTCTGGCAACCCCTTGGCGGCTTTCAGATGTCTTGCCAACGCATGCGCTTGGTCGTTCAATGCTTGTATAATGCTCTTAATCGCTGGTAAATGCTTTGGGCTGCCAGTCTGCTGCAAGGCGTATGCTGTTCGCTCGAACCTGTCTACGTCGCGAGCAAACTGACCAATGTCTTTCCAAAGCTTGTCAGTAGGAGTGGAATCCATGGATAGATATCGGAAAATCACTGATGCCACAAAGTTTGACTGAGAGAGCTTCCGAAACCCAGCCAAAGGTTCCGCCAGGCTTGATGGTAGACGAGCGATTCTTCCAACAGATTACGGTGCAGCTCAAGTCAGCTAGGCTGCTAGCCATCGGGATTGGATGTCGGCAAAGCGGCAATCACATGGCTTCCTCGATCGAGGCCACTGAGAAACAGATATGACGACCCTTGCATTTGAAGCTGCCCCAGTAGAGTGCTGCATCGTACGTCCAGTTGTGCGTCGACGGCGCATTTGTGTAACGTCGCATACGCTTCGATCGAATGCGAGGCTCGCTTTTTCTTTGTCGATCAACGTGACGCACAGCCCGCTTTCTTGACGTTACACAAGGTGGAGTCGGTCTGGCCCCAGAGCGGAGTTGTGCGCTCGAAAGGGAACGTTGAGGATTGCGCATATGATCCGTGAACGCCATGACTATTACCGCGCAAAGTCGAGGGCTTTCAAAAGAAGAGAGCGATTGTGATCGCAGGGTTGTAAGGGCCATATGCGGAGGATAAGCAAGGCTGAGTTGCAGTCAAACCAGGAAGGTGCGATGCCTCAGTTGACAGCATCACGGTGTCTTTGGCCAGACACATCCTTGACCGCCCGAGATCCTGGATGTACAAAATCCTGCAAGGCATGAACATTCGGTGGCTGCAACTATGCGGGAACAGTAGCCATCGATCAAATGGAGCACATTTTGATTGGGAGATTCCGGTTGGCCTGGACTCTGCCCAATGACGTACGACGAAGCGTCTGACAGAACGGCTGACGAAGACAAACTTTTGTGATTTTTCGTGTGAGATGAACTCGAACGGTAGAGCCAGTGACCTCGAGCCATGTCTTGACTTATATGCGCTGCGAGTGCCCCTGAGGTTAAACTTTACATCACAATTAGCCACGCTCTAGGGTTGCGCGCTAGACCGAGCGAAACACTGTACCCATGCCAAATGGTGAGAACCTTGAAATTTGTTGGATTTCGGAGGCGTACCAAGCATACTCGAGTGAGAGGCGGGATACCAGCCAATTTCACAGTCTAGCGTGTGTGCCGTACCTTAGTCTAGATATCCGGAGTTGACTAATGCAGAGACTATGTCAAGTAGAGCCTCATGCGCCTGATCGAAACTTGTTGCACATGGAAAACACCTACCAGGCACCATGTGACGTAAGTGCGATATGCCGAAAAGTCTGACTTGGACGCGTCTGGGCGTGCGGGGTACGGTGCATGCATTTCAATTGGAACAGAGCAGCCTGACGCTGTGCAACCGCCGCCGAAGCATCCGATATGAGTAGTACGCTGTGTTCACAACGCGGACATGTCAACCGTGTGGGATCCCGGTGATCCCTGTTTGCGGTCGCTTCTGCAGTAGGATTTCTCTCAGACCACTTCAAGTCACGGACAGGTAGACCTTTCTCAACATCCTGCTTCAAGTATAGTCCATTACTATCGCCTCACACTGCTTCCATTGGACCTGCGTCTTTTTCGTCTGCGCAGCTCCTTCCGCGCTGCTCTCTTCATTCATCATCACCTAGGCAGTTACTTTACACGCTTTCCACACCCTTTTATTGTCTTCGGTCCTTGTCAGCAACACCATAGTAGCCAGGAACAAGTGATTCTGGCCTCGAAAGTGTCAGCAACATTGTCGGAAGAGTTTGGCTTCTACAAACATCGTAAGGGAAGTCATTGTCTAGAAGCCTGAGTTTACCTGCACTCTCGAGACAGTTCCAATGGGGAGAGGTTTTGGCGGTTTCATTTCTCGTTGCCGTTGGAGCTGGCGAGGTAACTATATAGAGCATAGCAATTATTCTAGCAGCTTGTGGCTTCGGATAACCTTGGGGGTCAATTTGAACAGACTGCCAACGAGAAGACTTTAGCAGCAGTCTCCAACCACCGCTAGATCGAAGCCTCAATAGTTTCAGGTTTAATATAGATAGGCTTGAAGGTCTATATCTAACTTCGGCAGCAAAATACTATATAAGCAGCAAAAATCTTGCTCACCCTACAAGTTTAGGACAAAACTGTCGTGAACTTGTAGGTGTTCGCTAAGCAACACTTCAAGTTTTCGTCTAGACTAACTTCAACAGGCTGTCTAGCAGGCCCCCCTGTCTAGTATCCACGGCAAAGCTCAAAGTTTGTCCAGATATTGCACTCCCAAAACCTCTCCATTAATAGTCTCAAATCACTCGAAATGTAGCAGTCGACCTCGACGATGTCTTCTTCGAGTACCCACCTGGTCCTCTGCGGGAACGTGCTAATGCAAGGTGTGACAGGGGACATGAGGACAGGCACGTCGAGAGTCAGGGTAAATGTCCGCCGTTGGTCAATTACGTATATACAATGTTACCCTCAGCCCGAGCCAGGAACAGGTATCCCACTCCCACTCCTCCGCTTGACCCTTAACTTCTTCTTCCGCTCCTCACCACTCTCCGTATCCTTCCTAGACGTTACACTCCCAAAACTCAGTCTATTCGAGGCCTTAAGCGCACCGCTCTCACCATGGCCCTCCTCTGCAACAATCGCACTCACGGCCTTTGCACTTCCTAGGCTGATCCCTCGATCCCCGAAGCGACTCTGCCTCCCGTTGCTCGTCTGCGAGTCGAAGCTTCGCCGCTTACCGACTGTTTTGTTTGGCGTGCTCGGCTCTGTACCCGCGACGTCGTCACTGCTCCACCACCCTTCCGGTCTGCTTGTTGACGTTTGTGTAGTCATCTGGGAGTCGTTCTGGCTCGTAGCAGGCGAGCTGATGTTGTGCACAGCGGCTAACTTCGACGCGCTCGGGCTGGGTTCCTTCAAACTGTCGAGTCGAGACTGTGAAGGCGTGCGCTGCTCGGGTGGCGATGTGTCCTTGAACGGGAATGTGGTGTGGCTGTGCGGTGGACTTCGTGGCGTTTGACTTGCGTGTGGTATGCGTGTGATCTGTGCCAGTCTTGAGCGTGGACTCGGCTCTGTGTCCTCACCGTCGCTCATAATCGTGCGGCGTGTGACTTGCGAGATCTTCTTCGCAGAATAAGAGGGTGTCCCGCTTGGACTGGAGTCACTTGCGCCATCGTGATCGGGCGCTGGTAGTTGGCGTGGTGAGGGAAGTGGCTTGCTGAAGTGGACTGGAGATCGAAGGGTCTTGGCCTGATAGCTCTCGAGCGCGGTACTGCCTATATTGGCGTTCGCGTTGGCGTGCTTGTCGAGTGCTTCGAAGACATGTGGGAAGACAAGCTTGTCGACTGACGAAGCCCACAGAAAATCGAGGTGCTCGTAGTGTGGAATTTCTTTCGCTATGGTGTGACGAGGCAGCTCCTTCAGCATAACATTGATGTCGACCAAGCTGTCTGAACCACCCCAGACCAGCACGATTGGTGTCTTGATGTTGCGCGTGGGAAATTTGGCGACCTTGTAGTACTTGGAGCGATTTGACGTAATTGGACTTGGCGCTTCATCATCGTACATCTGGAAGACGCCATTACGAATAATCTGGAACCAGTGCACAACACTCTTCGTCGACGTGTACGAATATAGATGGGGATAGCTAGCCAGCTTCTGATCTGGCGAGATGTTGACAGCAGACCAGTTGAACAAGAACCTCAGACTCGCGTCAATCAGCCTTACGAAGATCGGAGGGTACAGGATCGACTGCCACATGGTCGCCGAGGCCAAGATCGCCTTGCGTCCAAAGGCGAGGTAGAGAATGTCTGGGCTCGCCTTGACGAACGAGTCGACAGTCCCACTCGCCACACCCTTCGGACTCATAGCCGGCGCCAGTGCAATGAACACATCCACTTTCTCGTTGAGCGTGGGATGGATACTCAGCGTCGCAAACGCCTGCGCGGTACCCTGGCTGAAGCCAATGTAGCTCAAGCTCGGCTGATGCGTAGTCTCCAGGATGTACCCAATCGAATCCGGGATATCATGAAATGCAAACTGATCCATGCTGAAATTCCAGAACTTTGTGTCGGTCGGCGCCATGTGGATGTTCTTCTTGCTGTACTTATTTCCGCGGTTGTTGCCGAGCCAGACGTCATAACCGCGCTCGACGAGCTCGAAAGGCAGGCAGCGCTCGCGCTCGGTTAGACAGACCCAGACTTCGCTGTTCATCATGAGCCCGTGGTGCAGGTACACGACTTTCTTCTTGACTCCGTCTTTCCCTGGTCCGGCGTTCACGCGCTCGCTTTCTTCGCCGCGCTTCCAGCCCAGACGGTGCAGGCCGAGCAGGTACCCGTCGCCGGTCTGCACGATGTGCTCCTCGCAGTAGTATCCGTAGAGCTCGCATAGTTCGGTGAAGTCGCCGGCGTTGGCAATTGCTGTCCAGACATCCTTTTTTTGGTTGCGCGAGCGGCGCGACGAGGGTGAAGAGAGCTGGTTGAAGAGGCGGCGCGTGATGCTGTAGCAGGCATTGATGACGGGCGTAGGGAGGGCGAGGGTGATGACGGCGATAACAGATTCAAGGGCGATAAGGAGAATAGAGAGGACGAGCGCGAAGTACTCGCGCAGGTGCAGGCGACCGAGGAAGGGGATGCGGAGGGCCATGACGGAAAGACCAATCGAATTGGTGTGATGTCCTGACCTACAGTGAGAGGCGTGTGCGTCGTATCGAATTGGCAGGCACGTCGGTTTCAATTCTCCGTCCAATCCACCATTCCCCAAGCTAAGCTACGAGCGACGAGGTGTGTAGGGTAGATGATAATGACTGAGGATGTCAAAAGAGACGCAGCTCCCAACATGGGCCATGTCGTTCGCGTCATTCGAGAAATGACGTCTCAGTCCATCTGACATGTGACGATCCAGGCCTCTCGCACTCCCGCGGCCATTTACGTCTTGGCGCGCTTGCGCCGGCATGGATCTCGAAATAGTGGCCCTACATCGATCGCTTTGCGCCGCACGACGCAGAAGCAACAGCCATGCCTCAATCATGTAAAGACATCCGTAAGCGATTCCTCCTTCCGTCTAGTCCTATGCCCTGTCGAAGCGCTGCGGCCTTGCTCCTGCGAGATCCGCAATGAGCTCATTCGCCGCATGCACGACTCGATGCTGACACATCCAAAGGAGCAGCTCTGGCCTTTTGCCTCCAGAACAGCGACTGCATCCTTGTCGAGCGGAACAGTCCTGGCGACTGCTTACGCCCACCGCTGAAGTACACGCTCCCCACGCAATGCCAGCAACTACAAAAGGGCTACGCCGAGTGCAAGAAGGGCATGATCGATATGCGCAAGCGATTTCGAGGAAATCGACCAATCTCTGTACAGGGGCAGCTGGAGACTGGCGCGTTCGGACATGGGAGGAGTGAGGCCGACGAGAAAGCGGGCACAATTGAGGAGAAGGGATACATGCTGTACGCTGGGCGGCCGTACAAGGATGTCAAGGAGACCAAGGGCGATGAAGATCCTGAGAACAAGGGCTTGGACAGGTGACAATGGTCTTGGAAAGCGCAAGACCGAATGAACAGCATCACAGGCGTTATGGGCATGGGGCATACGGGCACTCTCCTCTATGTATCAATACTGCACTGTGAACCATTATGTGAAAATACTGCATCATATTGCCATGCAAGAGCTGCGACTTGAAGAAACCTAATCCACCACTACGAAGAAGGTAGATGCCTGCGTCGAATTTCGCCTGTGTCTGCCTGCGTCACCAGAACCCATGACAACCAAAAGACTGCAAGCCAGTACGAGACACCATGTTACAGAACGATCTACGATCTTCATCGAATGCCTCATTGGCAGGTAAGTGTCGCTTCAGTCTTGTTCATCGAACACATACTGCTGCAACACCGACCGTAATTGAAACCGCACTCCTCTGTAAAGTGTCAGTCATAGAATAGGAAGTATGGTTAGTTGTGCATACCCCCTGGATCCAGGCAACCATACGACAGCCCGTTCTAAAGCTCGTTGCGCGTGTCCTTCGGGTTGTCACTGTAATCGTCTTCGGAGTCGTCGTCACTGAAATCGCGCTCCGAGTCTTCGTCACTGAGTTCGCGTTCTGGGTCTTCGTCACCGTAATCGCGTTCGGGGTCTTCGTTACGAGAACAGAGAAGGTCGTCGATCTCAGAATCGCTGAGCGATATGTACTGGTCGTAGATGGACTTGGCAGCCTCGTAAGGGATGAAACGACAAGTAACATTGCGGCGCTTGCAACATGAGCGATCAGACCCGAAGACCCATCGCCCAGTGCCGGATGAGACTCGATCACGAGGACCCATGAGGAGAACTCTCCTGCCTGAAACCTGCTGGAAGTAGTATCCAGCAGCGAGGCTGCGGAGAATAACCCTGGGTCGTTCCATTGCGCAGTGCGGTGGGCGGCAGAGAGCAGGGCCGAAACGGCTCAGGTCTCTGGTCAGAGGGATTGTCTTGCTAGAGGTAGCCAGCGCGGCGCCGAGCATCATTAGAAGGCCGTGGAACTTCATGTCTGCTTCCAAGCGTCCGTGCTGTAGGGCTGGCGGCGTGGTATGTAGTAGTTGCGTAGTGCATGTGGAGGTATATATGTTGGGTGAGTCTCTTGTATGTAACGGGTGTGGATTGAGCCGGCCTGGCACTGGGTAACACTATGAGTAGCGGATGTGGATGGGGTTAGAAGAAGAAAGGTAGCAGAGCAGGCTGGCAGACCAACACATGGCTGACTAGCAGCGACCGTTACTGTCCTTCAGTGTGACTAAGCGACCATTCTCGGGTGCCGCGATCTTTGAAGGGCATTGCGTTCGCCGGTCAGTGCAAGTTCGACCATTCCATACCGGTATGGCGTGGATGCTTCAAGTAGGCGCATTCAATCAACACAACAATCGCCTCCGTCGAAAAAAAATCAGCATATGCCCGCCGGCACGAGGATCGCGTGTCTGCGAATGTCAGTATTTTACCCCAATTTGCGGGTCACAAGATACAGACGTACAAACCGTCGAAGCATTCGTCCCAGCCAGCCTTCTTGCGCTGCCAGTAGCGTCGTAGTACTGCTCGCGCTTTGAGAGGACTGCTTGTACCCAATAGTCGACTGTGGTCATCCAAGCGTCGCTCGATCCAGGTGCGCGTGCTTGGCTGGTCGTGGAATCCAGCTTCCACACCAAGTACACAGAGTGGGAATAGCGAGAACTTTCGCAAGTGCCGAGATCGTGCGGAGGTCTTGAGATCCTCAAATAGACGTTCAGCGTGGATGGTGCGCATGGTCACCATCTCCAAGCTGTCGGGAAGAGTACCAACTGCCTGCAGCGACATAGTACAGTACAGGGCAATCGCCGATTGGTAAATTGACCCAATGAGCTGCCAGTCTTCGTGGTTCTCGCCTGGCTGTGCCCAATCTCCTGGCTCGAAGGCTTCGACACGGGCAAGGATGTCGTGTGCGTCCAGCGTATGTTGATATGGGTTATCGAAGGGTGCGTTCGTAACCTCCCACCGTAATCGGTTTATGCGAATGATCTCGATGAAGAGTGTTGGGGGACATAGGAGATAGGGAAAAATCAGACTGTAATATTTCTCCACTTCTTCGATGTGCTGCTCAATGGGCTCAGTGATGCTGATTTGATCTGCTGCTAGGCCAAGAGTGTTGGAGAATGTCACGATGCTATAACCTGTAAGTGACTGAACTGATGCGAGGCCGAAAAACTTACACAGTGAATATGACCATCGCGGATGTCAGATGTGGCGCCGAGCGCAAAAGAGACGAGAAACCGCCTCGCATGTCTATCAGCCGTTTCATGCCGTGAGCGTGCAATCTCCAATCTCCTGCGCTAGAATTCTGGACCTGAGCATTCCGTCAGCTTGCAACCCGCGATCCTGGAGTAAGAGGCCATTTACCTCCATGGCCATGAACATCAAGATACTACTTATTGTCAAATCACTGCTGCAAGTCGTTTCCCTTGCGACGTTCTCACTGAGGGCACGTATTGCAAGACCGCGGTATTTGTAGACCTTCGATCTATTTCCGACAACCAACGCGCGGTTTGAGCCCTCGGGTAACGAATGAATGTAGTGATTCAGGCCTAAACAGACGAGGGTGTGATGCATGGCAGGAGGCAAGATATGTAGAGCCCAGACAGGAAAGTGGATCACAGCCGGGTTTGGTACCAAAGAGTCGGTCTCTTTGACGTCTGGATATATCCTCACGTTGACTGTTCGAGTCAGTCATTGCGACTTGCTTGGTAAAACGGACGTACAATAATTGACAGCTTGCACAACCTCGCTGGTCTCATTGGACAGATGTTCATACGAAGGTAGCTGATTCATCTCCATGATCCAAAGGAGTCGCTTTAACTTCTCGAGAGGATCTTTATCGGATTGCAGCAGCATCGCGGCCTCCCAGGCGTGGCCTCTCTCGACTACTGCCCTGATGGCTTTCTGACTGCCAATTCGCATGATTTGCTGGCCCACCCCAACACCTGCTGCGGCTTCTGCAGCCATCATTGTGATGTGTTCTGTTTGCTCTTCGGCTGTCATGCTGTGCCACCATGCTGCCTTCTCTTCGTGGACTAGCAAGGTCGCGAGTTGGCTTTTGTAGAGCTCAACGGCCTCTGCAGTTACTCGAGGTTCCTCGAGAATGTATTGCCGAGAGTGTTGTGGTAGCTCCCACTTGAAGGTGAGGCCTACATCTTGCGTGGTAAGCACTGACGAGTCGGACTTGCTGGACTTCTCAGCGGGTAGGCTGGCGATGGTTGGCGCAGCGAATCTAGCACCTTTTGGCCCGATCGTGTACACTTTGGGCGTGGTGTCCTTCTTCCGTCGTCTCGATGTCACCCTACCGGGTTCTACCCACTGCAGTGGCTTTTGCTCATCGTACCCTGGGCACTCCTTGCCAGCCTTGATGCACTTCTTACAGTGCGGCAGGTTGTGATCACACACCAAACGTCGCTTGAGACATTCCCAGCACTGGCGTGTTGCTTTCTTTTCCCCATTTTCGGTTCGCTTCATTGTTTCAGTTAGGTAAAGTTGTTTGCTGCTTGCAAGGTCCCGCGGCATTGGGCAGAGACTAGAATCGAGGCGGTCGCGACCGGGTGTTAGTCTAAACGGTGGATGCGCGCTCCACTGCATCCTTATTGCCTTTGACGGTCGAGTGTAGAACTCGGTGATTGGCAACGCTGCGTAGCGGTCTACATCTCGTTGGCAGTGTCAGCAGCCAAAAGGCTTGGCCTCTGTTTTGTCTGAATGCGGTTTAACTCAATGGCCACAACGAGGCTTTGCGGCTCTGATCCGATCGGAGTTGCCGATTGATTGTAAAACTGAACCAATGGTGATGCACTTGGTCTCTGAGGTTGTGCAACTCGCTTCGCCTTGTGACGGACAGTGACGCGGTTAGTTGTGGGTGCTGCTGACGGAGGCGCGCGATGAGCCCCAGAGAGATGACGACTGTCTTACCGTAGCGTTGCTCGCCTGAATTAGTGCGAATGGACCCAGCATTTGAACGCTAATATGATGACCTGCAGTACAAGATTTACAGCAGGTGATTTGATCATGTCGAAGATATCTAGCCTTACATAAGCAGCCTATTTAGGGTTACAAGAGTCATCTACCCGGGCTTATAACTGTGACAGCTAAAAAGTGGCAAGATGTAGACCACATGTAGACTACGCTTGTACCCCTTGATAGACTGCTTATATAAGACCAATTCTCCGGCGACAGATGAGCAATTCGCCAATATCCCAAAAACTCTCTTGAAGTGGCTCAAACAGACCGAGGAATTCGCAATCAACGCGTACGGTTCCACCGGTGAACATGGAGGTCACAATCAGCCTCACCTACCCATGTCACATGCAAGCATCAACCGCAGCCGCCTTGTTGAAGACTAGGCGACCTCGTAGGCTCATACAGCTCAATGTAAGTCTCGGCCACACTTCGCGCCACGTCGGAGCTAGCGCGGACTGCTCCAATTGGTCAGACAATCAAGGTATGAATTGCCGTTTTGGGAAAGAAAGCAGCACGATGAACCTAGCGACGCAGGAGGTCCGATATAAGTACAGCTTATTGCTATAGAGGAGCACGAGTCTAACAAGACACTATTTCACTTCATGAACTATGGCAGCAGACGGGAAACCGGTCGAAGGCAGCCTCTACCTCTATGCACCAACCAAGGCCGTGCCACCTATCTTTGCAGCATGGTTTCTTGGAGCTGCTATCGTCCATATTTGGCAATGCCAGCGACTCAAGTCTTGGAGCATTACCGCGTTGCACCCTCTCTGCGCACTGATGTTTACAGCCGGCTTTGCACTTCGCGCATACGGCGCGTGGAACTACGACAACATCGGAACCTACATCACCAGCACGCTTCTAGTTTATTGCGCGCCTCCACTGCTTGAGTTGGCCAACTATCACGTCCTTGGTCGTATCCTCTACTACGTTCCTTACTTTGCGCCACTCCACCCAGGACGCACACTCACCACGTTCGGCTTTCTCTCTGCTCTCGTCGAAGTCATGAACGCGCTTGGAGTCTCTTACCTCTTGAGTCCGAAAATCGGCGAAAGCAAACAAAAGCTTGGACACGCGCTGATGAAGGCCTCGCTCATCTGCCAACTGGCCGTCATCTCGATATTCTGCGTCATCGCCGCCATCTTCCACTTGCGTTGCAGAAGGGCGAGAATCACCTCGAATAAAGTCCTAGGCCCCTTGTGGACGATGTACGTGAGCATGTCATTAATTCTGATCCGCACCATTTACCGGATCGTTGAGCACTTTGGCACCAGCCAGATTCCCGCGAACCCACCACCAAATTGGGACCCAATGTCTCTGTCGCCGATTGTAAGATACGAGTGGTTCTTCTGGGTCTTCGAAGCAACTCTCATGCTCATCAACACTGTCTTGTGGAACATCAGACATCCAAGACTTTACTTGCCGGAGGACTACCACATCTATCTTGCACAAGACGGACAGACCGAGCTCAAGGGTCCAGGTTGGAAGAATGACCTGCCGTGGTTCATGACCTTTATCGACCCCTGTGGACTGACAGCGGCGGTCACGGGTAGTGGAAGAAAGAAAGAGAAGCCGTTCTGGGAGACCAATGGTTTCACGCACGCCACAGGTGTGAGGTCTACAAGTGGGAATGAGAAATCGAATGCTGTGAAAATCTTTTGTGTCTGATGGGCAATTCTAGAGTATGATATTCGTTGTATCTTCAACCAACCTTTTTCCCCACAATGGAAGTCATAACGATACGAATCCTCCCTCCTCGCTGGTCCATTGCTTTACCGCTCAATCTCACGCTTCGGACGCTTCTTACTTCACCTTGCTTCCACCATTCGGTATTGGTACTTGAAGTTTGTGTGTAGCAGTTGCCTCCGTTCAACACCACCACGGTATAAATTGGAAGGGTCAGAAGCCGATCTATCCAAAGATCAGGGCGGGCTCACATACAACACACTGGACCAATTGGAGGCATCTCGAGTACTCAGCCTGTTTCAACGGCTCCCCGAATTCCGAGCGTGGCTTCCACTTTACGGAACCCATCTCAATTAATCGTGGTCGAAGCCGTCGAGTATTCTCCCCTTCCACAGAATCCATGACTTTAGCAAAGTTGACACCGAAGAAGACAACCTTTACATCATCCGCCACGCATACAGGCAAGCCTTCGACAGGATCTTCAAAGAATTGCTCTGGGTCGATGGTCCGGGCTATGAACAATTTTCAGCTCTCGATTCCGCGAGTTACGTGGACGGATCGGACGATGACGGCAAAGCAAATGGGAAGACTTGATCGCACACGTAAACAGCCTCCGCACCAGAGACTGGGAGTGGGACCCTGATGCGATACCGGCAATCTTAAACGACCCTGTCACGTAGCGTTAAAGTTGCTTGCATACCCGAGTCACTACGCGCCCGACTCAGACGAGGCTCACGAGAGCGGCGGCAAGGAACTCGCGTAGCAGGTGGCCGCCGTTCTCGATGAAATCAGCGGTTCCGTCTTCCACGCGAGATTGCAGCAGATTGAACAGAATGCTATTCGACGGCAATCTATCTTGGATACATTTCGAAGACACGACTGTCCCGGTCAAAACGCTGGCACGCCTTCGGGTATAAGTAGCTGCCGAGATGATGTTGCAGTCGAAAGGACACAGCTTTAGGCCACTTGAAGGCAGAGAGAAGGAGCCAATGGAAATTTGGATCGCAAGCGAGAATGATGAAGCTAGAAGGATATGATGAAGATTGCGCGGGGAACATCTTAATGTGGATGGCTAAGGGGCAACTACCACGTTACTGTGGTAAGATGCGTCGAATATGTCAGTTTGCACCCCCGGACCATGCGGCTGAGCGTGAAACAGCCCTGATCGACCTGCCATGGCAATTGAAATTGGTGGCTCTACATTAGGCCAGATGTGCAAATGGCTCGATAGACTCCCACGTTAATAAACTCACTGGTTCGTTCGGGCAATGCTTTGCCACAAACCGGTCGTGGCCTTCACCTTTACTTACAATTGCGCACCGACCACAGGCGGTTCTCCTGGTATAAAGTATCAATCGCCGTTCGTCTATCCTTCTTTCCCTCCGCACGTAGAACCTAACCTCTGACTTTGAAACTGTCGCCGCAACAACCAAGCATATCGGCGATCTTCGCCATGAAGGCTATCGCCAAGTTCACCCTCAGTGGCGTGGCCTTGGGCCTTGCTGCAATCATCAACACAGCCCCACCAGATACTCCACCGCCCGACCCCCATCGTTTCAACGTCCCCATGCCCTTCAGTAAGCCAACGCGCAGGACCTCTGACACAGAATGACCCTCGCTAATCCACTCACAGACAGCACCTTCAACGACACGGTCTCGACCTTTGACCATGACTCATCCATGGACTACCACAATGAAGCCACTATCGAGGGCTAGAGGTAGCGGCGGCTAATCCGCGAACGCCGGCAACGTTTTCGGTACGGACCTTTACAAGGTTGTCGCTAAGACCTTGGACCGCACCTGCCACTCTCGCTACGGTAAATACTGCGACAATTACAGACCTTTGATGCGCCTTACCTCAAGATCCCACCAGCGGGCATCGTACAGAGCGTCACTTACTGTAAGCGTGACCAAAGTTTGCCGTCATTCCATGGACCATTCCTCCATACTGACTGAGTTCGTCCGCACCACCTCTGCTGAGTGGGCTAACGAAAAGACTCGTGAGAGGATGCTCAACATCGTCGGGCATGTCCTGTACGCATAAACTACCATGCCTCTTGGGACCAATTGCTACCAGGTTCCTGGTCAGAGTAGATTCTGCAATATCCCACAATTCATTCGTGTAAGTAAAACATGAGAAGCACCTTCGCGGTAACTCACCAAGTCAGGTTCACTTGCCCAGCTCTAGCCCTGTCGCTCCGGGACAAGAGAACTACTGGAACGTCGAGTACCATGGTCAGCCGAGGAGGTTTTCCAACCACGGGAACCTGAAACCTTGTCACACGCGCCACGCTATCGACAAACAGCTCGAACTCTACAAGAAGTCATGCGAGGAGCAGTTCCCCGACTGGAGGGGCCGCTTCAGGTATGACACGCGCGTCACTCTCAAGAGGTGCTCTGATGAGTCGTGAGCGATAACAAGCATGGTCGCTGCGTATTGAAATACAGCAAAGACGTGTAGTGAGAAGCTGCACCTGCACATCGCCAGACCGTGTCTAAGACAACAGGCCAAGGTTTTGGAGAACTTCGTTCAAAAGTGTGCAGTCCTTTGTACAGATAGGTGGAGAACAATGGATTCTAGATTCGAAAGATTTGCTCGTTTCCTCTCTTCTTGTGCTATGGTGCCATAGACAGCCTGGCTGAAGACAAGCAATAGCGTGTGCATCCTACAGCTGTCCTCTGTGCCCTTTAGTTGTCACTAAGAGTGCTGACAATCGTGCGTCGTTGAGAAGCGGTGCATGGGACTGCTGCGACGTCCACTCAAGGCTGCCGCTAGTGCCAATCGGGCATCGGCTGCGAATCGGCTATTGCATTGACGGTGATGATCATCGCGGTCAACAACAACACCATGACGCGGCTCCTAGCGCTGCACACAGCAAACGGCGCTGCATGCTGCGAGCCTGCGGCACGCTCGGGGCCCGGCAGCGTTCACGGTGGTGGTGCTGGCTTTTGCCGTGCGTTACCTACCCACCTCCTCGCTTGTGCGGCGCGAGTCGTGACGTCATTATGAATGCGAGATGGCGAGATGCCTGCCGTTGTGTTTAACGGGCGACGCGGCTTAGTGCTGAGCGCCGTGGATGTTGCAGCAATTCCTGCATCCTGTTGATATAGGTTTGTCGGGACTCACCCGAAAGATTCAGTTGGGCGACCTCGATCATTCGCGATCCCTCGCTCACTTCTCGCTTCGACCTCGACGCACGCGACGCACTCGACGCGTTACGACGCGTCACGACCAGCCATGACGGATAAAGTCTGGCACGCCGAAGGGCTCGGGCATGAGTCTCTGGCCAACGGCGACCTTGTAAACGGCGACCACGAGAGCGATGCTTGCGTCAACGACGTCTCCATCACCCGCCAGCAACGGGCGTGGGTGCGCCCAAAAGACTCGCCGCTCAAGGACCCAGGTACGTACTCTGCACGCTTTCGCGCACATCCACTAAAACCCCCCAGGTCTCGCGCGGGCCAACACAGCAGCCACGCACGACCATCCCTCCGGCACAACGGCCGACACCTGGGCAAAGCGACACCGTCACCAAACCGTTCTCCAACAACACTGCGAATTCTTTGACCGAGACCGGGACGGCATCCTCTGGCCGTCCGACACGTACATTGGCTTCCACAACCTAGGCTTCGGGGTCGTGCTGTCGCTGCTCGCGCTCTTCATAATCCACATCAACTTCTCCTACCCCACGCAGCGCAGCTGGCTACCCGATCCCTTATTCCGCATCGACCTGACAAACATCCACCGCACAAAACATGGTTCAGACAGCGACGTATTCGACTCCCAAGGCCGATTTCGACCGCAGCAGTTTGAGGATATATTCACCAAATACGCCGACGGCGCCGAGTATCTGACTATCTGGACGCTGCTGGCGCAGATCAAGGGGCAGCGCAATGTCAGCGATTTGATTGGATGGGGTGGCGCGGTGTTTGAGTGGATGGCGACGTATTTGATGCTGTGGCCCGAGGATGGGAGGATGAGGAAGGAGGACGTTAGACGGGTGTACGATGGGAGTATTTTCCACGGGTGGGCGAGGGATGTTGAGCAGAAGAGGCGCAAGGGCGAGATGCGGAAGTGGTAGCGGCCTACGTTGGGGACGGGCCATGTCGCGAGTTTCTCGCCGGCGTAAAGGGGATTCGTGGCGAAGCGATCAGAGGTCGAGACAGACCCACGCTCTTTGCGTTTGGAAGGTGATGGGTGCGCATCGCGCAGGCAGGGGGTGTCGGGGGTAGTTGCATCAATGGCCAATACTCTTCTCTCCTCTTCTACTTTTTGTCTGCAGGGTGACGAGATGGATATACACTACACAACGCTATGCTCGCTACGCTATGCTCAACGACTCTGGCAACACCGCCCACGCACCGCCCAAGGCCTTGCAGCACCCACGACGAGTCCAGCCGAGAAAAGCGATGCTACCACCACTCCAACACCCTCCGAACCGCGCTCTTCTTGCTCCCCAATCCGCCGTGCGTCTCGTCCGAGACATGGCGGCATCCGCGTTGACCACACTGCCGAATTTCCAACGCATCTGCACCCTCCAGCCTCGCGCCAAGCCGGGCGCCGTCATGCCGATCCTCGTTCGGCGCACCACGGTCTCTCCCCCCGCCTCCGCGATCCATCGCCTTCCGCCGCCGACGCAGTCTCGCTCCGGCGGCCTCGCGCTCAGCATGCCCGTCTCTGGCGTGCCTCGTTCCGTCGTTCGGCCTGCTTCGTACAATGAGCACAGTCGCAACAAACGATGCTAAAGATGCTCGGGATCCGCGCCGCTCAATCACCTGGCGGGTTCCAGCATCTTGGGGCGATCCCGCTCGCCGCGGACGTCGTCGTAGTCGCTCTCGTCGTCGCGGCGGCGACGGCGGCGCTCGCGGTCGTGGTCGCGGTCGTAGTCGCGGTCGTAGTCGCGGTCGTAGTCGCGGTCGCGGCCGTCCTCGCCGTCTCTGCGGCGGCGACTGCGGTCGCGGTCTCGACGCTCGCGCTCGTACTCTTCTTCTGCGTCGAATTAGCTCTGAATCACCGCGCCCCGTCTCAGCACATACCCCGCTCCTCGCGGATCTGCTTGGTCTTGTCCGCGAGCTTCTGGATCTCGTCCTTGGTCAGGACGCGCAGCACGATGACGCAGTCCATGCGCTCCTCAAAGCGCTCCTTGGCACGCTCAAGCGCCTCGGGATTGACGAGCTTGCGGTCGATGCGGGTCCACCGGGCATCGGGGGGGATGTTGCGGCCCTTCTGGGAGTCCTTGTGCGGCGCGACGCCCTCGCGGATGGGCTCGGGGTCCTCGGGGAACTTTGCCGTGGGCTTGCGGAGGATGCCCTTGAGAGGCGGCGATTGGTCCTTGCGGGGTACGACAATCTGGACGCTCTTTCCGGGGGCATCGGGGTTGAGCTTGTCCATGGACTCGGGCTCCTCGACAAGGTCGCGCTCGTTGGGGCGAGACGGTGCTTGCGATGCGGGAGAGCGCTCGCGGCGGTCCTCGCGGCCGCGTGACCGGGACCGCGAGCGTTCGCGGTCTGCTCGGTCTCGGCGGCGCCGTCGGTCTCGTGCGCCGTCCGAGTCGCTGTCTTGGCGGTCTACAGCGGCACGACGTGTGGCCTCGGCCTCCTTCTCGGCCTGTGCAATGCGGCGACGGTACTCCTCGTCGGGATCGACTGCTGCCGGCACGGGCGCAGGCTCCTTGCGACTGCCGCGGTCCGCCTCGCGCTCAGCATAGTGACGGGGGCGTTCCACATCACTGCCTTCGGGTGACGTCTTCCTGGGCGGCTTGGGCGGTGGGTTCTCCTCGTTCGGGTACGGACGGTCACGGGAGATGGGCCGTTCGGGCTCCGGGGCCTTTGCGTATGCGAGAACTGGTGCAGCAACGGGTGGGGCGTACGGCTGCTGTGACGACGCGGGTGGAGCGTACGGCTGCTGTGACGACGCGGGTGGAGCGTACGGCTGGGCAAACGGCTGCTGTGAGGGCGGGGGCGGAGCGGGCAGTGCCTCGCGGCGTTCGGGCTCGTGGCGGTCTTCGGGCAGTCTGCTGCTGCGCCGGTCGTCTCGTCGCTCGCGATCGTCGCGCCTGTCTCGCTCATCATACTCCCTGCGCTTCTGCCTCTCACGCTCCTCGGATGACGCGCGCTCTTCCCTCTCCTTCTCCCTCTCCTTCTCCTTGGCCTTGCCGTGCACGGCGGCAATGCCGGCAGCGGCAGACATGCCAGCGAGGGCGCCAGCCGCTACGGGGATCGCACGGCTCTCACGACCGCTGTCGTGCTTGTGCTCGGTGCGAGGGCGCTCGGAGCGCGCTGGCTCGTACGAGTCGTATGTCGACACCGGCCTCTCTGGGCGGCGGGGCTCTGGCACGCGAGGCTCAGCACCGCGGTCCGGGTGGTACGCAGGAGGCGCGTGCTCGACAGGCGGTGCCCGCTGAGGCTCGTACGGCGGGTGGACGGGCTGTCGGTCGAGTGCGTAGGGGTCCTGGACTGGCGCCGGGCCGGCCGGGACGATGCCAAAGCCGCGGGAGGCAATGTCGCGGTCCTCGAAGCTGCGGTCGTAGGTGGCGTGGCGCGTGGGCTCGGCGTCCCTGCCCCGGACGTAGTCGTCAAACGTCTCTGCGCGGCGAGCCTCGCGCTGGGGCTCCTGGTGGACGGCGGGTGCGTGTCGAGTCGACGACGAGCGGTGCGGCGCCGAGTCCGAGGCGTACGGGTCCTGGTACCGGTCGCGGCGTTCGGTCGAGTGGGAGCGGGCGGGCCGGGGGTAGCCGCTGTTGGTCTTGTCGAAGCCGCTGTTGGTCCTGTCGAAGCCGCTGTTGGTCTTGTCGAAGCCGCTGTTGATCTTGTCGAAGCCGCTGTTGGTCTTGTCGTAGCCGCTGTTGGTCTTGTCGTAGCCGCTGCTGGTCCTGTCGAAGCCGCTGTTGATCTTGTCGAAGCCGCGGGTCGAGGGCGGCGGGCCCAGGTCGCGGGTGGAGCTGCGCAGGGGACGGTCGACGATGACGCTGCTGGGGCGGGCGCCGCGGTCGATGCTGCCAGCGCGGGGGCGGCGCCAGGCGGGCTCCGTGTCGCGGTACATGCTGGCGGGGTCCGTGTACGAGTAGCCGTTGTCGCCCAGGTCGGCGTGGGCGTGGCGCGCCGACGGCTTGGTGGCGGCCGCGTGGTAGCTGCTGCGGCCGCTGGTGACGGCGCCGTAGCCGCTGTCGCGGTGGCGCGGCGACTCGAGCGTGTCCGTCTCGGCGACCAGCTTGGCCGTGTGGGTGCTGTCGACGCTGTAGATCTTCTTGTGGGTCGAGGTGGCGTCCTGGCGCGACGAGCCGTGCGAGAGGTACGTCTCGCCGTGGCCGTGCGAGGACCGCGGCGGGGCGAGCGGGCTCGAGGGCCGCAGCTCGGCGGTCGTGTAGGGCGTGCGCAGGGGCAGCGACGTCAGCGAGGCGACGTTGGTCCGCCCCAGGTCGCCCGTGTTGCGTCGCGGGCGGGTCGAGCCTCCGTAGCCCGAGTCGTACTTGAGGGCGCCGGTGCGGCCGCTGGAGGAGCCGCTGGGCGCATAGCTGCCGTACGACGAGGTCGAGTGGTGGTGCGAGGCCGCCGAGGAGAGCCGGTCGCCGCTGGAGCGCGGCGAGCTGGGGCGGTGGGCCGAGTAGTCGCTATAGGACGAGGCGTAGGGGTCGGCAAACGTGCCCGTCGACGAGCGAGCCGGATTGTAGGCGCGGCGGGGCGACGAGGAGCGGTGGTAGCGCGAGTCCATGCCGGCGGACAGCGCCACGCTCTTCACGAGGAACGGGGCCGTCTGGGCGGCGGGCGTGGTAGCGAGCGAGTTGCGGCGGCGAGCCTGGCCAGGGACGCCGACGCTGCCACTTATGGTGCTGCGTCGCGTGCCCGACGACGCCTTGGTCGAGTGCGTCTGCAGCGACGACGGGAGGAGGACGCTGCCCAACATGACTGTCAGCCGGTGAAGCAATGCAGGCAGAGGGCAGACGAGACGGAAGCAGACGAGGCAGAGGCAGAGGCAGACGAGACGGAGGCAGACGAGACGGAGGTAGACGAGACGGAGGCAGACGAGACGGAGGCAGACGAGACGGAGGCAGAAGCGGACGCAGAAGCGGGCACAGAGCCGGACGCAGAAGCAAAGCAGTGCCGGACGACGACGTACATGGTGCCGGTATATGGGCGTCGACCCGGGGGGGGAGGGCTTCAGATTCCGGCCCAACTGCCTTGCTCGACGACGGCGGAGGCGCGAGCAGGGACAGCCTGGAGAGTCGAGACGCGCTGGGCCAACGGCGCGCCGCGGGGCTCGCGAGCTGCCAGATGCGCCGACCGCCAGGGGAACGAGGAATGAGGCGGGGTGGTCACTTGGCGGCAGCGCGTGGGGGCTCGCTGCAGGACAGCGTCTCGGGGAGGATATGGTAGGATAGGGCGAGGGGCGTGGTGTTGGAGAGGAACAGGTGCAGTGCGGGTTTAGTGCAGTGCAGTGCGGCTTCAGCGCAGTGCGGTGCGGTGCGGTGCGGTGCAGTGCGGTGCAGTGCGTTGCAGGCTGACAGGTGACGACGGACGGACGACAAGTGACGACGGACGGACGACAAGACATGGCGAGCCCGTGCCGGCAATAACATGCGCCCCTAGCAAAAAAGAGTAAAAAGGCAGCCTGCATTGCATCCAACGGGCCATGACAGGCGAACTGCACAATGACGCAGTGCGTTGAACCCTGCATGCGCCACCACTACTGAAGTCTGACAGCTTCGCTCCAGGGCCTGCCGAGTAGTCGCACGCTGCATATCGACACCGGCCGCCACGGCCACTCCCAAAGCGACTCGTCTCCCCAGCCCATCCATGGCCCTCTCAGCATCGCAAACGTGCCCCGCCAGCCGCGCATCGTACCAGACTCTCGTCCCCCCTCCGGGCGTCCGGGCGTCCGCGCTGCGCTGCGCTGCCCAAGGGGCTAGGAAGCTAGTTGGGCGTTGAACTCAGGACAGCCCTGCGCGCCCAACAGCCCACCTTTCGGGCCGCCTCCCACCAGACTCCACCGCACGCAGAGTCTGATCAGCGCCGCGTCCAACGGACGTGGCACCTCGGTCTCGCGCTGCCGCAGAGCCCTGCTGTGGGGATGGAAGAGCCCTGCTGGTGGGATGGAAGAGTCCTGCTGGAGGATGGAAGAGTCCTGCTGGGGGATGGAAGAGCCCTGCTGGGGGATGGAAGAGCCCTGCTGTGGGGATGGACTTTGTCGAGTCCGCGCCCCATCGCACCGCATCGCACCGCATCGCACTGCGCTGCACAACCACGTCCCCTCCGAGTCGTTGCCGCTGTGGGTGCGCTGCTCATCAGCGCGCAGCGCGGGACAAGCAGGGTGGTCTTTTCTGGAAAATCGCAGAAGCCGCGTCGTGGTCTGACGGCGCTGTGAGACGCAGGCATATCCTCGCTGCAGCGACGCTGAGTCGACAGGCGCGCTGCTGCTTCAAGCCTGCTGCGCCGTTCATGGTCCGGTACGATCTGACTTCTCTTGTTGACTTTTCCTGCATATCGTGAGGCGGGGTAGGGTGGCCGAGGGGGGGCATTGGGTGCGTGTGTGAGGCTGTGAGCACTCGTCGCGCTGGCTGTGAGCACTCGTTGCGCTGGCTGTGAGCACTCGTTGCGCTGGCTGTGAGCACTCGTTGCGCTGGCTGTGATTGACGTTGCTTTTTTCTGTCAATCCGCTCCAGCTGTGAAGCACTCCGTCACGCTGTCCATGATCGTCGCTCCTCCCGTCAACCCCGTCAACCCCGTCAACCCCGTCAACCCCGTCAATCCCGTCAATCCCGTCAATCCCTCTCGTCCGATCGTCTCCATCTCCAACGCTCAGGCTCAGCACACCCACCTCCCCACCTCTCTTCTCCCCTCTCTTCTCCCTCTCTTCTCCCTCTCTTCTCCCTCTCTTCTCCCTCTCTTCTCCCTCTCTTCTCCCTCTCTTCTCCCTCTCTTCTCCTTTCTTCCGCAGCACACAGCCCTCGGGACAACAGGGCGCTGTAGATCCCCACAACCCTGGGACAACAACGTACTGTAGATCTCGAGAAGAGCGTCGAGCCAACTGCCCAGCTTTGCCTGTCCCACCGGTGAATCACGAGTGCACTCACTCTACGCCGTGGTGGACCCGCTCAGCACTCTCCACGCGCTGATCTGATGCTGACACACCTCATGTTGACACCTCGTGTTGACACCTCATGTCGACACCTCATATTGACACCTTATGTTGACACCTCATGCCGACACACCTCATGCCGACACACCTCATGTCGACACCTCATATTGACACCTCATGTTGACGCCTCATGTCGACACACCTCATG